CGCAGCCTCAGGCTGGGCAGGCTGTGTCCACCCCAGTGGCCAGTCTCGCCCTGGCCTGGCGGGAGCGCCCAGGGGGCAGGGACGCCGACCGGTCTGTGCTGGAAACGGGATCCTCGCGGGGCCTGTCAGCTGGTGGTCAAGCGGGCAGCGAGTCCCTGCCTCGCAGTCACCTGTCAGTTTTATTTAGTTTGGGCTATTTTTAGGCCACCTCGGGGCTGCTCTTTCTGTCCAGAAGGGCGTGAGGGCACCAGGTCCCCGGCTGGCCCAGCCCGACGGGCTCGTGGGTAGGCCCCGCCTCCGTGCCCAGCCCACTTGGCCTCGCCCCGGCAGGCCGCTGGCCGCTGGCCGCTGACCGTGTGTTGTCGTTGCAGGACCCGCCCACAGCCAGTTACCATGGTGGACTACTATGAGGTTCTGGGCGTGCAGAGACAGGCCTCGCCCGAGGACATCAAGAAGGCGTAAGTCCCGCCCGTGCCGGAGGCACTGACCTTGAGCCTTGGGGGGGCATTGCCGCCCCCAGGGCCCGCGGGAGGAGCAGCCCGTCTGTCCCTGTCTGTCCCGCTGGCCGCGAGGGCTGGGTCTCCCCGACGTGGTGGTGCCCTGGGACGGCCTCGGCCGCAGGAGGCTGGCGAGAAGCCCGCTGGGCCGCGCTCACCCTGGGCGAGCCTGGGTCACGCGCAGGTGGGGGGCTGCGGGCGGGCCGTGCCCCTGGGCTTTGTCACTGGCAGGGCGCTCCCTCCCCTCCCTGGGCGGTGGCTTGAGGGCGCTGGTCTTGCTGGAGGCGCCGGTGCGGCCTGTCCTCAGCCCCGGAAGGGCGGGGCGCCCCCCAGCAGGCGCCCACTGCGCCTGGGGCAGCCCTGCCCGAGGGCCGCTGTGACCGCGGGGGGGGGGGGGGGGGGGGGGGGGGGGGGGGGGGGGGGGGGGGGCTGGAGGCCAGTGTGGCGAGGCGGTGACGCCCCGGCTTGCTTTCTCAGGCAGAGAAAAAGCCGCCCACCACAGCTCGGCCCCGGGGGCCCCTCGAGTCAGGCTGGCATGGGGGAGGGCTCCGGCCGGCCTGCGCGGGCAGCCCCGCTGCTCGCCTCTCCTGGCCGCCGGGGCCTGTGTGTCCTGCCGCCTGTCCCCTGCGTGGGGCGGGCCTGGCGGTCTCGGCCGTGGGCCCCGAGGGCAGCCTGTGGCCGGCGCCGCTGCTGGGCTGAGCCGTGAGCAGTTGTCCAGGGTGAGGCCGCGGCCAGGAACCTGCGTCTAGCTCAAGGCGGGGCCGGCCCGGCCCTCCAGCGTGTGGCCTGTGGGGCCCCGGGGCAAGGCCACTCGGGCCCGCCTCGCCCTCGGGACGTTGGACCGCAGGCTCAGGCCGGCGCTGCCCTCGCCTGCACGTGGGCGTGTGCCCTGGGGTCTGCTGTGGTCAGCGCCCTTCCGTCTTTCCAAGGTATCGGAAGCTGGCGCTGAAGTGGCACCCAGATAAAAACCCCGAGAACAAAGAAGAAGCGGAGAGAAAGTTCAAGCAAGTAGCGGAGGCTTACGAGGTGCTGTCAGACGGTGAGTCGCCGGCGGCCGCTGTCCTGCTTCAGCGGCGGGCGGGCGGGCGGATCGGGCTCAGCGCCCCGAAGGGGCCGCCGGACCTCGGAACCCCACGAGCCCGCAGCGGCCTGCAGGCTCCGCCCGGCCAGGCCCCTTGGCGGGGACACCTTCCTGAGGAGCTGGAGCGCCGGCCGCCCCTGGCCCGGAAGCAGCGCCAAGTGACCCTCGAGGTCAGCGCTGGCGCCGTGAAGCCCAGACACGAGGCCCGGGTGTGGCCCCGGGGTCCGGTGGACGTTGAGGTGTTCTGGACCCTGGAGCGCGCGCCGGTGACCTCCCTGCCGCGCCCTTGCCCGCCCATACTGACCGGAGCGAGGTGCTGGCCGCTCCCTGTCGGCCGCCGGCGCCCGGCTGAGGCTCACGCACACCGACAGGAGAGCGGGGGCCAGGCCGACGCGCGTGTTCTGGCAGCGGCACACGCCGCCTGGGGCTTGTTCGGGTTTTTCCCCCCAAAAAAGGTTTGTTTAGATATTTATGTACACAGAACTGGGGCACAGGCCAGAGGTGCAGGGGCGGTGAGAGAACCCCAGAGACAGCGCAGGGAGCGGAACAGGCCGGCGGACCAAGTCCGCTGCCGAGGGCGCGGCGGGCGGCCAGGAGGGTCAGCCCAGCCCCAGGGGCCGCCTCCGGGCGGGTGGGGCTTGGAGCCCTGAGCCCGCTCTCCTGCCTAAGGCCTCAGGGCGAGTCTCGGGACCGCTGGAGCCGCCGGCCCCGGTCAGCTGCGGTGTCCCCAGCGCCGCCCGCCACTGACCCTGACCCGCGGTGGCCGCGGGAGCCGCCGTGTCTGCTCACACCAGGCTCTGGGCGCCCCCGGCGAAGGCGCCTCGGCTCGGTTTTCCTCCTCGCTTCCATGGGGGCGGCGGGGCCCTGCCTGGGGGTGCGGCGGGTTGAAGCCCTGCGCCCCCCGGCCGTGCGCTCCCCTCCGCGGTGGGGATCCGCCTGCTCTGGGTGGCCATGGCTGACCCGAGCGGCCGCACTCGCCTCTGGTTCGCGTCTGCTTGAATGTCCCCCGGCAGAAGCCTGAACACTGTGCGGTGCCCTGC